AAATGAAAAAAAAAACCAATTTTGGATACCAAAAATTTTGAAGGCAATTCCCCAAACTTTGCACTTGGCTAGAATTTATGCCTCCAATCTTTGTAAAAGGGTCCTCAAATACCCCAAATTGAAACCTGTAAACTAGATAAGGGATTCATGTTCCACACTTGAATTTTTTTAACCAAATATAATGTTTTGATATTTAATATCTTGTAAATATGAGATTTTTGGTGGAAATAAGCCTATAAATTGATACAGAGGACAACAAATCATAGTTGTTGGAAACGATTCCGATCCTGAATTATTTTAGGAATCGAAATCGGAATCATGGCCTGCTAGAAGATTTTTATTTTTTGAATCGACACCCGCAGAAGAAAAATAGTGGGAAATGAGATTCCTATTTTATAGGAATCAAGATTCGACGAAAATAGATTCGCGATCCCTACATAGATGGAATCGAGAATTGTAGGTCAATGGAATCAAGTTGACCTATTTGGAATCGACCAATATGGAATTGAGATTCCTGGACATTTTGAATCGAGATTCATACCAATTTGGATTTGAGATTCGACCTAGATTTGAATTGAGATTCATCTCTATTTGGATTCAAGTTTCGACCCATCTGACAATCAAGATTTGTAACCCCCTTATAATCAAGCATCTAGTGGACAAATGGATCGATAGTGACATGTTTAGAAGTTAGTTGCAAATTACATATTGCATGAATTAAAAAATAATACAAATGTATAGAGATATAGAGATTTTGACATTAAATGATAACTGAAGATTACATATTGAGCGTAATTAAAAAATAATAGATACATTGACTTTGATACACGACTTTCATTGTACACTAATGGGAATATTGCTTAGAGAGATAAGGGGCTCCCCTAGGGGGGCTACAATTTCTTTATTTTTCTGCCCCTTCGGGCCTTAGCGATGAACTTTTGTGTGATAATGGAAGATGATGGAGACCCTCTAGGGGCCTAGGTAAAGGCTTGGTTGGAAGACAATTATCTCTATTCAAGTTTGCTAATAACTCAAATGTGAACTATGTGAGACAATATATATTTGAACTATGTGAGATAGCCGTCTCTAGTCCAGTTTCAAAATAACTCAAAATCCAAAACCATAAATATCTGAACCAATCCAAAAGTCACATATTTGTGCACTTAAAACTTTTAAGCATTTGATTTTGTGGTATTACGGTTCTCGGAAAAAAAAAGAAAAGAGATTGAGATTCTATGAGGGTGGAAAAGAGATCTGATGTTTCATTAACTTGTGATTTCTTGTGTCTACGAACCTTGGTGCCTAATGTTTGGGAATCTGGATTAAAAAAAAAAAACTCGAGTATCATTACATGTGGAATACAAATTCAACAAGTGAAGAATCGAGATCCAACAAATGTAGAATCGTGAATAAATAAATAATGGATGTGAGATTCTTAAAGTGTTGAAATCGAGATTCCTAGAATAAGCAATCGAGATTCTTAACTTCATGGAAATAGAGTCCGTGAAGATTCCTTGTCAGAATCGCGGAGTTGGGGTTCCAAATTGGAATGATGACTTTGCGTGAGAGATTTCAGATTATTCATCTGCTTCTCACTTTGCGTTAATAGCCAGGACATTGAGAAATATCCAGAAAGGCATTTCGGGAATCGATCTAATTCTATTTCTGTTCGTTCCGTTTGAAGAAAGGAAGGATCCCAAATAATTGATCTTTCTTTTAGTTTCTCAATTTCCGTTTGATGCATCAATGTGTGATATTCCGAATGCTTATTACTAATGGAGTCAAAATGATCTCTTGATTGATCAGAAGGTCCTTTCAATTGGTTGGAAGCCATTACTTTAACGAAAATAAATCTTGTGGAATCGTATTGAATACTTGACGATACATTCCGTACATTGCTAAAAAACCTATCGTTGTTTATCACCCACATACTGCCTAACCAAATCAAATTCTCTCTCCATACGTTCCTCAAAAAATCTGATTCATGCTGATTCTTCCCGAATTTAAATAGCTGTCCTGAATTGAAGTTGATTATGTTTTGTTTCTTTCCTAGAGAAAGATGATCAAACAATTCCAAATCATGGTCCTTGCGGATCGGATCATCCGTGTATTTGCATAGGATACAAAAGAAACTCCAGATATTTGATATCTCTCTTTGAATGAGTTCTCAATTCCAACTACTATTTCATTGGGTGTCTTACAACTAAAATCCCTCTTTTTTCCAATCCGGTTCCTCCACCCTCACGAACCCCACTTTTTTCAAGCATGATACATTTTTTAGTTATTGGGAAAAGCCAATTACTCTCTTTCGGATCCATGAAACAACTCTCAAAGATCTTTTTCTCTTTTGGAAGATACAGAAGCAAAACAATAAACCTATTTATCATTTATGGGCCCAATGGAATTCATAGGTTTAGGAAGAAGCCTCATCAAATAGAAATTTTTTCTTTTGACCATATTTCGATGGTTAATACAATATATAAGGACCGGTACTAAAAGCTGTACTATACCTTTGATTATGAAATATCGATTGCTTGTTGTAACTCTGCAAATCTCATGAATGTAGGATACTCCAAATTCAGGGGTCAAAGAGTTTCATAAAACGTTCTTGGTGGAAAAAAATGTGAGTGAAAGATCCTACTAAATCAAATTTGGTCCATGAATCTAAGAAATAGTTCAAAATCACAATATCACATATTCAAGATCTTTTTATTTATTTATTCTTCAATTTTATCTTTTCAGTAGCTTGAGGATTCACAAAATGACCGTGAACCTCAAATTTCAGGTCAAATGGGGGTTTGGTTGAAGAGAAAATGTTAAATAGGATTTCGGTTTAGACCCAACATGTCCTAGAAATTAAGTGAGTTGTGATAGGAGCTCGCCAAGTTTACACAAACTCATCCGATTAAGTGTAGTAACTTTGGCGAGTTCAGGAACCATACCCCTTTGGGTGAATATGGGCATTCAGGGCTTTGTAGGCTGCCGACCCCGAATAACTCTCACATAGTCTGATTTGGACTAGGCATTCATTTTGTCTCTGATTTATAAAGATATGGCTGGAGTCAGTATGGGGGCAAGTTGATGGGCCCAACCCTATGGCAGCTATCTAGTGGGGATGGCATTGTAGAAAAAGAAGAGGCTATTGCTCCTAAGGCTTGTCAGATAACAAGTGTTAGGTGTATAGATGACAACAAAATTTCCATATCGAGGGAAACAAATCAGGGTAGGGGTAATTGTTGTGGGAAGGGTGATGGGCGAGAAATATTGATGTCTTGGTCATTGTAAGTTGGAAGGGGGTGGGTCAAAGTTAAGTTGACTGTTGGGGTTGAGTTTAGTAAAGTTAATATGACAACATTTGAGAATGGTAGCTCAAGGATTGTGGAAGATAATCTATGAGAATGACAGGTCTTTCTGCTGGCATATTGAGAAATAAGGAATATCACTCAATGAAGACAATACTAATGAAAATGTGCCTTCTTACTTCCGCTATCAGGTGTATGAGTAAAATGGCTGGAAACATGGAATGGAAATTGTGAAGAAGCTTGTTCAGGAATGAGTGTCAGAATTGGAACACGGAGGAGAATGAAAAGCGGCTCAGTGAGAGCTTAGGTCGTGGATTAGGGAGGGAATGAAATATGAAATTGGAGGATGATGACTGAGGGGGTGTGAAGCTATTTGCCATTCTTTTGTTGAAAGATAAGGCAAAATTAGTTTCAATGAAACTTGAATGTAACATGTACCTAGTTCATTGGAAATGGCTTTTTTGAGCATGGTAAAATGATTTTTTGCTTTTCTTGATAGATCAAGAAGTATAGGTAGTCATATAAGGAATGCAAGCAAAAATGACATAATTGATGGTCCAAAATAAAGGAAAAAGCAAAACAAATGCTCACGTACTGAAAGAGTGTTCCCCTATACTCCCTCATGTAAGGTAATCGACCTTTATTGAACTTCTCATGGAACATGAGATGGGAGGCAGGTTCCTCCTCCCTGGCCCCCCTCCATGATGATTGCTAATCTTGATGGTTTCATGTAACTCTGTTAGCCTATCTAATGACATTAAACCAGTACTCTTCTACAATGAAATTGAGCATGACGACAAACAGACGTAACCTGTTACAAGAGCAATTGCAACAAAGTTGATGGGCCATAAAAGTCTTCAGAATCCTGGCCCTGGAAACTCTGATTTATTGTGGGAGTTGCTGCTGTAATTGAGCCTTAAGGAGCCCAATGGTGGGTTTTCTCTTAAGATTACAGGTTGTGGCCTAGGCTGAGTCAGGCAAGCAGCTTTTATTCATGAACTTAAGTCTTCCTTTATGAATCCAAAGAACTTATTGTTCTACTTCTTAATCTGTTTTTTAGTCTGCCCATATAGGAGGCCTTAAAAGATATTATTTATGAACTGAGCCTTCTACTATGAATTGTGAAGAACTATTTGTGCTAGTGCTTGATGTGTTTCTTGATTCTTAAGCAACCCATATAGGAGGCCTTAAAGATCCTGTTGTTTTATTCTATTCTGGATTCCCTGAAAGCTAGCCAAGGAAACATTTCCAAAAATCGATGATCCCTTATGATCAGCCATACTTGGACTTGCCCATGGGACCTTGTTCTATATGACCTAGGACATCTTTGGAAAAATCCCAAAAGTTTCTGGTCTTCGGTTTGCTTTTATAAATCTTAACTTGTAAGTTACTGGAGTTCTTTGCTACATTGTTGTTTATTTTCAATAGGTGCTCATGTTTATCCTGGAAGAGAATTTGAGAATTATCAAATGGAGGGCCTTAAGGTGTCTCTAGCCTCTCCATAACTGAGAACGTTTTTGTTTTAGAAATAGTTTCGAATTTTTATTCTAGTGTCGAAGGCATTGACCTTGAATATATGTTGTTTGTACTTTACATATCTTTAGCATCGAATTGTGTCTCTCTTGTTTTGGAAGTATTGTTGAAAGTATCATTGTTGGGGGTCTCATCATTTGCTCACTATATTTGTATCTGTCTCAGGCAAAATGGTTGATGGAATCAGGTCTGGTTCCCTTAAGGCTTTTTCAGGAGCGCTGTGAGGTATAACTCTTTTTTTTCCCCCCCGTTCGTTCTTCTTTTTGTGAATATCCTTACTTATCATGGCTCTTATTATTGCTTTAGCCTTCAACCTGAACTTGTATGCTTAATTGATGGTCTCACTGAATGCTTGTTTGTACTGAAGGAACAGTTTTTCTCAGATTTTAGTCTTCAACATGAATTTGCATGCATAATTGACGGTCTCACTGAATGCTTGTATGTATCGCAGGAAGAATTTTTGTGGGAATGTGAAATGATTAAGATCAAGGCTCAAGATTTAAAGGCCAAAGAGGTATAGTTTTCTTTTCTTTGCCTTTTTGCTTTGTTTGAATATTGTATCTATTCATGCAAACAGTATTCAGAATAAATTGAAACCTGTTTTCGTTAATAAACGAGGCATGGATGATATGACACTCTAATTTGTTTTGTTATTACTTATTTTTATTTTTTATTGATAATGAGAAGTCACACCATCATTTACTTCAAAGAAGCAACAAATAGTGAGCATCAAGCAATATGCAACATGGTAGGCATATTCTGTGACCATCAAAGAAAATTGAGCAGTAAGAAAGTAGCATACTCATTTTGGGTTTTCTTAATAGGAAAGGCTTAGCTTTGCTATGTCATGCTCATGTTTGAGTGCGGCTTGTTGGATTGGTTTGAAGGTGGATTTTGGTCCAAGGCTTCGAATGGTATTCCCATTGCCATGGTGTTGCTTTGATTGGTTGGATGGTATTTTGGGATGTTAGGTTTAACCTGTGGCAATGATTCAACCCCTATACTGAAGCTGGGTGTTAAATGGCAAACCTCTATGGTCAAGTTTTAGGTCATAACATAGCTTATGGCCTTTTAACCCCAAGAAACTGAACCCTCGAAATCCATGGATACCAGAACTATATCATCCTGGTACAACGGGGTCAATCTGGCTAGTCAATCGTGTGAAGTTGATGCCTCCTACAGGGAAGGCCAACTAAAGAATACCAGGCCATGTAGTCAGAGAAATTTTCCAAATGAGTTATCACATGGAAACCTCTTCAAATTTTATAGGAAAGTCAGATTAAGTTGTAAATAACCACCTAATCACCAATACATTCTTACATTTTGACTCCGCAAGGCAGAATCTGTTGAGTTCTTACTGCTAAAAGACTTGTCTTTTTGCAAGTCATTCGGGCCATATGGCAATGTGAAGAGCCATGAGAACACATACTTTTGGATCTTGAATTTGTTTTGTAAGGAGACTTTCCTGTGATCACATGTCCTTCCTTGACCAGTGTGCTGTCATCCATGACTGTCCTTCCTCGAGGTGCTCCTTCATACGGTAATGTAGTCCAGCCACTCCTATCTCAAATGGATCTTATGATGATAGTGTAGTCCACCCTCTTGAGTTTGACTGTTGCTATCCAATATCTCAAACATCTTATCATGTTTCTTTTTGCTTGTGCTACTCTTCTGATTTTCTCAGAATCTGATGTCCTTATTTTTTGCTCTCCCTCCCTTTCTCTGTTTAGGAACCCTGTTTGGTCTCTCACTCTCTATGTCAAGATTTTCCTTTTTCATCCCTTTCGAGTTCAACCGTGTTTCTTCTGTCTTCTCCATCTCTCTCATTTGACTCCTCTTTTGTCTCACTCTCCTTGAGCCGCTGCTTCTTTTTCTGACATTTTTCATTCTCTCCTGTTGCCCCTTCTCGTACCCCCATTTCCCCTGGCTCTTCCACGCTCCCAATGTGTTGCACCTCTCTTGTGACTGAGTTGGGGAGGTTGAGCCTTCAAAACAGCTGAAGTCTGTTTGTCAGCTTGCTCTGCTTGAGCATTAGGTGGCCATAAGGATATCCTCTCTACTCCTTGTGCTTATTTACTAATTGAGGAGATTTCTACTTGACTAGGGTTTGTAAAGTGGCTCATGTTCGTTGCAAGACCAACTGTGTTACTATTTTTTAGCTTCTGTTGTGGTCCTCGTGTTTGTAGCCTAATATGGCATGGGGTCTTGTTGCCATATTGGCATCTTTATCTTTGTTGAGGATGTGGGCTATTCTTACTCATGTTCCTTTTGTTATCTCTCTTCTTTCATTTCCCTGAGTGATGGTATTTTAAAAAGAAATGAAGAGGAAAATATGATTGGAATTGTTTCTTGGACATCTAATCTGGAACCTTTACGACATTTTGATTATTTGTCCAATATATTCTTTTGTTGACTTATAATCTTTTTTGGAGCATGTTGATGTTGAAATTGATGAAATCATGAAGGCTTATTTCTGCTTTAGTCGCCTTCGAATTTTTTCGCTACTTTTTCTTTCATTTCTTGTTTTGCTTATTTCCTTTTCCTGTTTTTCAGATATTTTTCTGGAGAAATATTTCACATTCATTTTCGAAGTACGCATAAATATCAGTTGTTTATTTTTGTTTGGGACAATCGTAAATTGTCTTAGTAATTGGTCATGGTGCTATTCTTTCTTTGAAAATTTGGAGGTTCAAAGATAGCATTCATGACTTCTGGTTCTCTTCTGCACCTGTAGAGTTCCATTTGCTTGTCTTTTGTACTCTTGCATGGAGATAACTGCTGTCAGATGAACTGATGTTTGTTGTCTCATTTGAGAAACAATGTCAATGGTAGTTTCTTTTAATTCCTTAATGGGCACAATTGCTGTAGTTTTTCTGTTGATCATTGTGCATATGGTGAATATGGTAGCTTACTACTACTTTCATCTCAACTTCATCTTGGTATGATGAACTTCTAGAACTGAGATTATCCATGTGGTATTGTTGTTGTTATTGAATGGTAGGTGAGAGTCAACACCCGCCTTCTCTACCAGCAAACCAAGTTTAATCTTCTGCGGGAAGAGAGTGAGGGTTATGCCAAGCTGGTATGAGCACCATCATTTTACTTTTTTCCTATTAATTGATCTCATCTTTTGGTTGATCTTTACATCTCACTAGGTAGCATTTGTTCTGAGGTTTCAAGGTTTTACGTTTTAATGCTAGTCACTGTACTTTGCATATGATAACAGATTGTCCCAAATGTTGTGTAACTATTACTTTCAGTAATGGACCGTCAGGCCGCACTTGAAACACAGCCATTTCTTTTCTCGTTTAACTTAGGACATATGCCATGATCATACTAATTTTCTTTCTAAATTTTTTGTTTTCATCTAATTTCTTTTTATATGTTATGATCAATAATCACCTTTCTATTAATCTTATCTCTCCTTTCCAAGTGTAAAATTCTGCGATCTTTTGGCGTATTCCTCCTTGGTGGCTTTGTGTTTAATGCAATTGCTTATTTTCCTTTTTGAGTTGGGTTTGAATTTGAATACATAGCTTCAAGGTAAATTTACATTTATATTATATCTTTGGTTGATGAATATTGAGAGTTTTAACATTAATGAGTCTTTCTACCATGGCAGATAATGTAATTTACGTTCAAGCCCAGCTCACGTGGAAGCCACTCCATGTTCCAACTTTGAGATGTGGGTTTGAACTCAAACCTTCATCAAACATCAAGTAGTTTGATGATAACCCAGAGTCTAGTGGAGTTGTCTAATGTAAATGGCTTGTCGGACAATGGGTTGTGTATCTGAGATGGTGATCTTCAATGTTTTGGAAGTCCAGGAAAGTTGAAAAGCTACACCTTCTAGAAGACACCTTATAGGGATTTTTTGGAGGGATATCTGGGGGTGATGAGGACTGCATCCTAAACATGCTTGGTCTCCACGAGGCTTAGTTCCAATGTTGTCAAGATTGGCTCGATACAGTGAGGGCAGGTCCAATCAAATGGACCGGTCCAGATTGGTTCATAGGTTAGACTGCTGAGGTAATTTAATTTAATAAATAATTATAAAAATTAGGAAAAATCCAAAAAATGGAAATCATGAAAAAAAAAGAAAAAACCTGGAAAAGATTAAACAGGTAATTTTTTTTTTTAAGCAACAAACAAACAAATTATTTGAGAGATTTTACATATTTTAAATGCTTTTAAAATTTAAAAACAAAAAATTCATATAGAATCACTCATAATATATATATATATTCCCCCCCCCCCTCTCCAATTTTGCAGTTTAAGGGCTTCTACAATTTTTAAAAGGATTCAAATTTAAAAACAAAAAATGCACTAAAAATTTCAAGAAACAATACCAGGTTTAGATGGAACAAGTGGCCGGATTTTGCCCTTAGGTCCTCAGTTCTTTAGGTTTAGACAAGTGGCCGGATTTTGCCCTAAGGTCCTCAGTTCTTTAGGTTGTGAGAGAGAGAGAGAGAGAGAGAGAGAGAGAGAGAGAGAGAGAGAGAGAGAGAGAGAGAGAGA